ATTTCAGTCTTTCAGAATGCTGGGCTGCCAAGAAAATGAATACTGTGCTGAAGGCAAAATTAGCAAGCAGTCCACAGGGGGATATGAGGTGTGGCGGCCCCTCCTTCACTGCCCCGAACAACAGCATAATGCACAAGCAGCAGAGATGCTGTATATGGCTCAGTACCAGCTTAACTTGCCAATTTCATGATTACATAGCATTTACTTACTACTCTGATGTTATTAAATACCCCCAGCTGGATTCAAAACAGATAAAATGAAATTCAATTCTAGATGCATTTTTTGAATTAGTGTGTTGCTTACCCTTCCCATGATTATGTAAAACTTGTCCCCATTGTATACATTTGAAAGTCCTGTTGCCATCCTATTACTGAATTAGAATACCATTGATATTCTCCTTTTGCTTTTCCTTTCAAAAACCTTCAGTTTCCTTTCAGCCACAAATAAATTCTGCCAGTTTGCTTAGCTTTGTCCTCTTTTGCCTGATCCAGTTATTATCTTAACTTCCAACAGCTTATGCAGTGAATGACTTCCTGGGCTGACTCCCCTTCTCTTACAAAGCCTCATTGTCCAAAATGCATTCATTCTCCTTGTTGATGTACACCGAGGTGGTGCAGTCATTTAAAACTGAGTTTCTCCAGTAGCTTTGATCTTTCTCACAGCATGGCTCATGATTTGTATCTCAAACATCCAAAACACTCTATTAATCTCTCCTAAATGCCCTCAACAATTTTTATGCCCTTTTGAAGATATATCTGAAACAAATTCCTTTTCCATAAGATGGCATCTAACTATGGTCTTCCTGGAAACCTTTGCTTATTTAAAAATGTAATATGGCATTTCCCCATTCTCACAATAACATTCTTCAAAAGACTCTAGAGCACGGGTATTCTTTATTGCTCACTCAGTGAATTAGAAATTGTTTTATTTATCACCTGATGTTCAGCCCTGCTTTCATGGAAAGGAAAAAGATTATAATTCGATTTTAACATCCAAAATTATTTTAGCTAAAATATTTTCATTACTTACAGAAACTGAGCAATTGGTTTTACAAGTAAAAAATAAAAAAGGTAATAAAATCCTCCAGAGAATCCAAATCAATTTTAAAGTGAGCAAAATCTGCCAAATGTGGGCTTCATTTCCTCCCTTAGTGGCCTATGTATCACATTATCCCTCTGCTAATAGCACAGCAAAATATCAAATATCAGCATTGTGTTAAAAGGGCTCCACAGTGGCCTCTGGCATTCTTCATTTAAATAAGAATATTTATCCAGCATTGGGCAAATAAGCTCACTGGACAAAAGAAATGACAAGACTTCAGTAACAGATAATATTACAACCTTTTGGGAAGAACGTGGGAAGGAAACATCACAACAGATGCAGACTAGAGCAGAAAAAGTGCCCAGCAGAATGCCTGCTTCAACTGATTCAAGAATGAAAGAGACACCAAGGGTTCTGGAGGTAAACCCCCTGTCTCCCAGCTTGTGCTACAGTGCTGTTTTCTAGAGTCAATTCTGATTTAAACCAAGGTGGTAGATATTTTCCAAGCTCATGCTTTGGTATCTCAGTGCTAAAACCAGAAAAAAAAAATCAGCCTGCTTTAAGGAATCTTATTCTATGAATCAGATTATCAGACATAATCCAAACAGAGGTATGAAGTCGTCCAAGCTGCTGCATTTATTTTATTGTTCTATTCCACAAAATATACAGAAGCATTAGTTTCATGCAAAAGTAGATGCAGCAGGTAGGGCAACAGAAGATGGGAACAACAAATTAAATACTGAATATTCTGATGCAGGTCATTTTTTTCTGATCCAAATGATGTAACATGTAATGTGTTCTGCAAATAGCTTTCCTATAGCTGAGAAAATTTTATCACAAAATCAAGTCTGTCCTACTGCTACAAAGACTTAAAACTGTCTAGAGCACTGGACATTTTGAATATTGCAATTTAATTTTATGAAATGGCTGTGCATAACAATCATTATTTTTTCCATCTAAGGTTAACAATCTCAATAGTAGGTAAACTACAATACGGACATAATGTCAAGAATTGTAATACAGAAACAATGTCAATAACCAGCCACCACTTTATTGACAAGTTCTTTTTTTCTATTTCAAATGAAGGTGGTCTGACTTTAGGCTCTAAAATTCTGGAGTACACGCAATCTGAAATGCATTTACAAATTCTACACTACTCTCTCAGCCCATAGGCTGTAACATGTGCATGTGTCACTGCTGCTATTTTATTCCAAAAAAGAGCCAAAGAATAAGCCAACTCAGCTGAGCAACAGAATGCAACATTCTCTCTCATGAAAAAGCATGCAGCCAGTTTCTCTCAATGTGCACACAGAAACTGTGGGCCACTAACAGAACATCTCCTGCTGTCACACAGAAGCTTGCTTACTCAGTGGTTAGTGCACATATGAAGGCAAGCACTTCAATTTCTTTATTTGAAACATCCTATAGTTTCAAATAACAGAAGAAGTGGAGCTTAACAGAAGCAGTGGAGCTCTACCTGTTGTGATTTTTTTCCTTCATACTACCCAGCTATTTTCTATTTGCCTTCCATACACTTATGTCCTATGAATAGGCTTTTGGAGTCAAATTTACACTTCAGCATGGCTCTCTCTGTTCTTTTGCAAGCTAGATGTACCACTAGAAATTGTTACTACCCACCAGACAGTTCTCAGCTCTTCCGTAGGGGATGACTCATTAGGAAGGACACTCAATCAGCTGCATACATACAGAAGCTTGTTGCACCCAGCACTTTTAAATATAGCCACAGCATACTCGTATCATCTGCATTACTTCAACATTAAATTTGGAAAAAAACCCCAAGATTTGTTTATCCAGGCAGATGATTTTTTTCCCAGTAGAATACCTACATGCAACTTCAGGTTTACAAGTCTCAGTATAGACTTCAGAAGACTTGCAGAAAATTCATCCTCTTCTGTGAGTTTGTAAATCTCATGGCCAAGTAAAGGAAGGAAATTAAATGTGAAAAGTCTATATATATCACCTGGAAGCTTTGCTTCCATATGTTTGTAAAGATTTTTCATTTCACAGCATTGTATAGGCACTGCTTAGCACCAAGGATGAGCAAGCAAGAAATAAGCCAATCCTGAACTCTTTGCTCCGTTTCTTTATCACCAAAGATAATGATATTTTTTCCATTTAATTGAAGCACAGTCAGACCATTAACTTTTAATGAGCAAAGCCACCATTTATTTAACTACAAATATTACTGTGGAAAACAAAAACATTATCTCATTCCTATGTTAATGATAAGCAAAGCAGTCAATTTAATGCCACTGAAACTTAATGTCTTGTTGGCATCACTACTGGTGTGGTACTCTACAAAGAAGCAAACATGGAAATGAAACAAATGGTAGAGCTGGAAAATCTCAGTTTCATTCAGAAAGAAAAGAATTTGCATATACATGATCAAAGTGGAAATATAATTGGTAACTTATCTTTTATGCTTCAAATGTTAGTAATTTATAAAGACACAAAGAATGTTGTAGTGAATGCTGGCTTCAGTCCTTCATTGCTAAAACATCTCATTCAGAAGTCTCAAAACTAAGATGGGGATTGTCACATCTAGCATTTGACATTTTACCAAGAATGGGGGCAATAAGGATGCGATGTAAAGTTGAATACTTCACATTAAATGATTTTGTGAGACACCCACCCACTTTGCAGTCACTAATATTTTAAACCTGATCTGGAAAACAGTGAAGACCGGAGCTGGCAGCTAGTAACAAAGAAAGCTTCATCTTCTCTTTCAAAATTGGTACCTTGGTCCATTTTCTCACAGAGAACACTCATTACCAGATCTGCTCTTAAAAATAGTATTTGAGGTAGAAAGTGGACAACTTGAACTCAATTACACTGATTCCTTCTTATAAAGTATCAGAAATTACACAGGTGAGTTCAAATCCTGATTATGACGACCTATTTCATCCCCTCAGGCCATTAGCCATCACGCTGCAGGGCAGGTTCTGAAACACACAGTGCTATGGGATCAAGGGACCATACAGCATATTAATGGATGAAGTACACATAAAATGTAGGTGTTCAAGGAGACAGGGAGAATGGAACTGCATGCTGCTCTGGCCCACACTTCCCCTGGGGTTGACTACTGCTAAACAGCTGAGAACAGCTCTGATGTGGCCTCCCTCCACAGGCACATCACCATTCCTGCTCACACCAAGTTGCCTTGCACCTGCGACAGCCTCAAGAACTACAGACACAAAAAAAAATTAGTATACCTCTTTTGCTTACAAAGCACCAGAGACATTCAGGATACATTTTCTGGTGTCAAATTTTTGACCAAAACAAAGATTATCTGAACACAGAGTGCAACATTCCCCTAATTTCATCTCGTAGAATTACAGAAATATGGCCCAACTTGCACAGAAGCTCTGAGAACTAGTCACACTGTAAAAGTTTGCACGACAAATCTGTATTGCTCTCTATTGCAGGGTTAACAGACCTATGTCAGAGTGCTTAGAAGCTTTCAATACCCTTCTCTTTTTAAATCAGGTGAAACACAGCACTGATGGGAAACTCCACAGAAACCTCCTTCCACAGTACATTAGACAAAGAATAGGCAAAAGAGGTATTCTTTTCTAAAACACTAATGCATTTTGTTTATTAGTAAAAAGTAACTGCTGTCAGAGGCATTTAAGCAAGGATGATGGTGAAATTGAGATTAATACTTTGGTAAGCCTTACTGCTAGTTTAAGACCTATAATGAAAAATAATCAAGTGAATTAGTTATGTTGCTACACCATTTTTCTTTTAAAACCCCATTAAATATTGATAAGAACTTCTATTCCTTACCAATGCTAGTAGCAAAGCATTTTATGAATGCAAATTAAATTTTCATTTTCACTCTTCATGAACATAGACTTTATGCCTGTGCTTTATATTATACCTGCACAAGACTTCAAGTCTGTGAAATGTTATGAAAGCATAATAATATAAGTGCCTACCTTTTTCAGGAACCGTACTCCATAGGTAAATATATAAAGGTAAAATGTAAATCTCCACCTGCAAAAGGTACAAGAGATTAACTCCAGGATACCAGGTTTACATATTTTACAGTTCAACACATGATTTCTTATTTCACCACCAAACCACCACACCCTGGTTACATTACAGGAAGTTGAAGCAAAATTTTGGCCTGGTTTTCTACAACTTTTGTTATCAAGCATTGTGCTCATTTGCCTGCTTTTCCTGGCCTCCTGAAAAGACCTGCTAATTTTATCTAAACGGGGGAAAATCCTCACACATTTTCAAGGATATTAAGTTTTTTAAAGTTTTTATTAAAACTAGCAGGACATTGGAGGAGAGAGGACAATTTACCCATATATTGCAGGAAAGTTCATCTCTTATTAGGCACCAGGAAATTTTATTAAGAATTCAACAGGTGACTTGGGAGTATGCATGTCAAACAGACTCTTTAGTAATGAAAAGTGTCATTCACAATGAACTGGAAATTCACTTGGCAGATTCCAGCACTTCACATTTGGTTTTAGGGAGTGCATTTGCGTCAGATAGATATGCTGGATACAGATATATATCCATAATTTACATCCACTTCCCATGCACCCCTTGATAAAAGTAATCTACATTTTCCCAAATGCACTCAGAATAATTGCTGAGCTTCTGGTTTTTCTTTTCAGATACAGGCAAACTAGAAGTTAAGAACCGGATGCCATGGAAAACAAGAGAAACTACCAGGAGATTTAATACAAAATCATCCTCTCTTCTGTCTTTCTCCAGCCTTCAAGAAAAGAAGACAGACACAGTAACTTCCTATCTTTGGATTACCCATTACTCACTTATGAAACAGCTACTGGAGGTCTACAAAAATAAAACCCTAACTTTGTACAGTATAAATTCTTAAAGGAATTCTTTGGGGCATTTTCCTCCCCTCCAGGGTTGGAATGACTACACACACACTTAATATAAACACCAGAAAAGTAATAATCATAATGTTTATAGCAGGATGAGATTTAGCTACCTTAGTGTGAAGCAATGCTGCAATGTGAATCATCTTCAATTACAAATTTTATAGCACTTAAAACTTTCTCTCCACTGGCAAAACTATTAGTTTCCAGTTAATTGGCTTCCAGTTAACTGGAGCACTTTCAAACATGACTGGAATGGTTACAAAACTGAAAATGTTCCTATGTTAAAGGTTAATTCAAACCTTTCTCTTCAAAGCTACTTTTACAAGTATTTAGAAACAGTTGTGTCATACATAAATAACCCTCAGACAAATTGAAGAGAGTGTAAGAACATCAGTGAGATTTAAAGTGTGATACTTCAGTTGAACAGAAGCTCTGTTTCACACTGTAGTCTCCATAGCATAGAAGAAATTAATTTATTAAACTGATATGAGAGAAATAGCAAATTCTTCAAGGGTTTGATCGTTGTAGTAACATGGCACACTGTTTTCATGCTGGCACTTTCAAGATACTGTGAAAATAGAGTACTTGGAGGCAAAATGTTAGTTGTGCTGGCAGAAACCTTCAGATTATGCATATGAAAGAAATAGGAAGGATAGTATTATGAAGCAAGGATTTATTTGGGTGGAAAGTTTCTTATTAGGTCAGTCCTACAGGCAGTAACTTGCCATTCAATTTCACGGTTACATATATCATCTAGTGAAAGTTTTAAGGCTGTCACCGAAAATATTAGGAGGAAAACCCTGTCTAACCTTTTCACTTATGAGCATTTTCAGTGCCCTTCTTTCACTCCTAAGTGATGATGAGCACTTTCGGTGCCCTTCTTTCACTCCTAAGTGTGAGCAGCTATGATCAATTCCTCCCATAGAGTTTTATCACCTTTAACATTTCTCCAAGCAAATTCATAACATGCTTAAGGGCTTTTCTAGCTTGCTGTTGGGAGATGCAATATTCCACAGAGGAGTTCAAAGGCAGTTGGACATATTTGAAAGACATTAATAGCTGAGTTTTATCTGGTGATTTTCCAGATTTTCCAGTCTGCATGGCCATTTGGAAAACTCTGATCACAGAATTTCCTGCAGCCACCACCCCTCAAAAAATAAAAAAGACCCTTTCCCAAAACAGGCAAATTAAGAAATACTGATATCCCCATCTAACTCTCCATCCACCTCCCAAAGCACTGACACTATAGATTTGTGCTGAAGCCATGGATTGCCCTGAAGGAGAGTTTCTGGAGCTTCAGAAAACCCTCAGAGCCAAGAGCCAGTGGGTATTATTTGGGCCCACTGAGAACAGTCAACTTGCTTAGACTGTTCAGCTGCTACAAAGATGCACACAAGGATATGATATGTTCTTCTTCCCGAATGTGCCAAACAAATGGTCTTGGATTTAGCACCAGAAGATGAAACAATGCTAAGAACTGAATGATAGACCAAGCTGGTCAAAGTACTAAATTCTTAAAGAAAACAAAAATATTGATAATAAAAAAAAGCTCATTCCTGCTGAACAACAAACTCAAAAGCTATTCTACAAACTTCTGGCTTGGTCAAACTCCAATAAACAAAAAATTTGAAACAAAGTAAAGTTGGAATTGGCCCCTGGCATGTTTATCACCATTAACCAGCTAACTCTGGTGGTAGCAGATCAACAAAGGACTTTCATCGCTCTGTAGCTGGCAGCTAGCTGCTTTTTCTGCAGACTTTAAAGAGCAATTCTCCCAGCTCAAGACTCCAATTGGAATCTCAATCTCATACAAGAAAGTCCAAGGAGTTTCCCACATTGTTTTACCAGCACTTGTAGATGGTTTATTGCTGCACTTAACAGTAAAACATCCATAAGCCAAGGTAAAATAGATGAATGCATACTCAATAATTTGGGATTAAAGACAGGGAGAAAAGGTACAGGAACTAGGTTATGAAGCTGCATTATTCACTCAAAATCATACAGACAAGGACAGAATGTATGTGAGAAATACCTTTCATACAGTGCAGGTATGTCCAAGCAAGATTCCTCCAAAGGTGAACTCTCAAATCAATTCTCTTGCAAAAAGTACTCTAATATGAATGATGGATTTCAATCTACAGTACATACTTCTTTATGCCTCTATTTGGATCTCACTGAAGCCCACTGATGAGGAAATGCAAATAAAGGGAAAAAGTTATAAGCAGTAATCACACCTATCCACAGTATAGCCCAGTGTCCAAAACATCTCTGAATTTTGAGAACTTGGGCAAAATGTCCTTTCTTTCTGCACAGAACATCATAAAAGAGAAGGACACCTTTCTTAAGTGTGAGGTTATTGAGTTTTATTCCAACTGAATTCACAAACTGGTAGCTGATGAAGTGCTGTCTTGAATTTGTCCTAGATAATAGTCCCAAATCTAACACTAGAAAGTGCCCCTAGCCTAAGTACAGTCTGAACAGTTACAGAACCCAGGAAAGGGAAGATGCCTAGCCAGTGGTATAAAACCTCCTAGTACCCTTTCTAATATCCTGCTTAACGTCCTCCTTAAGCATCAGCAGCTCATGCTGAGTGTCCACATGTCACTGGATACTGTTGTTTGGTCACAGCTGATTTGCCTTCAACAGGGAAAGCAACTTCTTCTAAAGCACAGGTAGCAGAGCCTGAGACTAGGAAAAGCAAGGCAAGATGTATACTAAAATATCTCTTGTTCCCCTTTTCCCCCAGCAATATTCTCTGCCCTATTAAAGACATACAAAGGAGGCCACAAGGTGAAGCACGCCATCATGGGCAACTGCCACATCAATTCACGCTTTCCTGAAAGATGAAAACAACTGAAGCTTCTCTGTTTTGTGAAAATTTACTCTGTCTCCCAGACTTCAAACATCCCTTTGGTCAGTTGTATAGAAACAAAATTTGAATTACATATACACACAAAGTGTGTTGCTTGAAAGACTGAAGTTAGTTTAAATCCAGCAAACCTAGATGAAAGCACTCAAGGCACAGGAGCTCTGAGTGACCTGATCTGTCTGTTCACAATAAGGTTTATGTGGTTCACTTTAGTCCTCCACTAAAAGACTTCTAAAATGAACCAGGCTTGCATCTGGTCTGCTCAAACTCTGAATAAGGGAGATCAAATGGACTTACAGACCTTCCACCAAATTCTTCAGGTTGTGCTGTTGCTTACCAGGCCAGTGCTTCAAACATGAATGTGACACACTGCAGCAAAAAAGTCAAGCTAAAATGTGACCCTGCCGTAACAGAAAAATAAATTATTTTCTAATGTACTCTTAAAAAGAATGCTGTAGAGTCCCTCAAAGGTGCAGCAGCATATCTGACTGCTCTTGTTCTACATTTAAATGTATTCTCAGTCCATAGCACAGCCTCAACCCCTTTAACTTTGAGCTGCTAATGAAATCTTAAAAGATGCTTCAGCATGATTCAGAACATCATCTAAAAAGATGGAAAAGTTGGACAGCCTCCACCAACTAACCTGATATACCCCATGGTATGCTAAATTCAGCAAAAGCTATTTAAAGTGTCCACTTGAACAAACACTTCACTGATTTTTTGCACTAAAATATGAAACTAAATTTCGACTAACAAAACAAAACAAAAAAAAAAATCAAGCAGTGGTCAAGCAAAGCACACCGCTACTCCATACTTTTTGCAGAACCCTATGAACCACATGGGGTTCATGCCTTGTCAGGATGATCTGACATACACCCCACAGACCTGCTGTCCAGCTGAGTGAGCTCAGCATGGGTACCTCCCTATGGAAAATGCACAATTCTCCCCTAAGGCAAGGGTGAAGAGGCACAAGGCCTCTGCTCCTGCAGTTTTCCCTTTTTTCCACTTCTTTTGCAGGAAGACTGAGAGGCCAGGCTGTGAACACTGGCACTCCTGCAGAATGGTGCAGCACACACCTCACAGCACACGGTGCTTATGGCTCTGATGCCAAACCAGTGCCTGCTGCTCAGCAGTGGTGTGCAGAGATCCAAAGCTATCCAACTGCTGACAACAAAATATCAAAATAGTAAATGCAGAATGCTAAAAACATTAAAGCCATTATGCTTGCAGAACTGTAGCTGTTATTTACAGAGATGCCTTTGCCA